GTATATATTTGGATTTACAATTATACATTTAAATTATAACTTTGTATTTAGGATTTATTTAAAAATATTCCAATTTCATATAATTATTTCAAGTTTGGCCCTTGATAACTGTCATTTATTGAAATCTAAAGTAAACTGACATTTTCATTATTAAGAAAAACATACAGAAAAAAATTATAGTTAATAATTATTAACACTGAATATTAATTAAAATATTAAAATATTTGAGCTTTAATTTCCAATCTCTGGTAGTGATTGTACAGTAGTTTGGTGTTGTAGTACAGTAAACACCTTTTTACCAAACAACAGTTTTGTGAAATTAATGAATTTCAGTCCTAAACTGGCCGCTGTGAGCTGATGTTGACATGAGGAAATCTATGAGAAATGCTTGTCCAACCTGAAGAAAAAAAGATGAAAGCAGTGCTTTTGCTCGTCTTATCTACCTCATTCATAGACTATTCAGTGTGACTGAGCCACAAGCTGTCAGAAAGTTGCTTTTAAAATGCCTGAAGTGCTAGACATAAGTATGATCGAGTTTGTCCCTCTGGGATACTACATGGAGGTCCTGACAGACACAAACAAGAGGAGAAAAAAACTCTGGATGGCAACCAACTTCAGGACTATAAAACTGGCGTGAAACAGTCCCTTTGAAAAACACTGAAACCTCCATGATTCAATCCACCATAAACAAGCCTCAAATGTGTTTATGAAGCGATACATTTCACGGATGAACAGATGTTTATGACGGAATATGGGAAAGGAAGCCCGGGGCCGCGTGTCGGAGAGGGAGGAAAACGGGAAGAGTGGAGGCTGGAGAGGTATCATCCATTTTAACCCAGATCCAGGAAATGCATGTTGTAACATGACAAACGAGGTTGATAAAAAGATAAAGTCCAATGAGGCTGCATGTCCTCACATTCAGGAGTTTATTGCAATTACAAATTAGGGCATTGTTCCCCAAGGAAAACACGATGTTTGGAGTGGACGGGGAACAAAGCTTGTGTGTATGTGTGCGGGCAAGCGAGGGAGTATAATGGAAAAAGAGCGACTTCGAATGCAAGTCGGAGGCGAGGTCCTTCCGTGGCGTCTAGTGCAACAACTCAAACTTGTTCTGAAATCAATCACTCGCTATTAATTCACCCAAATGAATGTAAACAACGATAAGAGAAGAATGCACTGCCACGAAATGGGCATCCTGACCTTCGGAGAGGCTAAATGTTGTTGTACGAACAGTTCAAAGGCCTGCTTGGCTTAGCTTCACTTCTGCTCCTTAATTTCTCTTCTCCATTCTGCTAACTCATTGACTAAGGACTGTAAATAAGTTACTGTGCAAAGTATTGTAAGTCAATCTATATACAACTTACAAATAACAAAATATAAAATCATATAAACAAATTTTTAATTTGTTTGGCGCTCTAGCAGTTAATAAACAGAACTGCACACATCCCGCGGAAGAACATTCCAACCGGAGCTACTTCTCTAAGTTT